AAACTCCTTTATTCATTGCAGCCAAAAATACAAAGGAAGAGGTTGCACGACTGCTGATCGAAAAAGGTGCTAACGTCAATTTTTCTGATATCTATGGTCAAACTCCTTTATTCATTGCAGCCAAAAATACAAAGGAAGAGGTTGCACGACTGCTGATCGAAAAAGGTGCTAACGTCAATTTTTCTGATATCTATGGTCAAACTCCTTTATTCATTGCAGCCAAAAATACAAAGGAAGAGGTTGCACGACTGCTGATCGAAAAAGGTGCTGATGTCAATGTTTCTGATAGGTTTGATAAAACTAGTCCTTTATTCATTGCAGCTAAAAATACAAACGAAGAGGCTGCACGACTGCTGATCGAAAAAGGTGCTAACGTCAATGTTTCTGATAGGGATGGTCAAACTCCTTTATTCGTTGCAGCCAAAAATAGAAACGAAGAGGTTGCACGACTGCTGATCGAAAAAGGTGCTGATGTCAATGTTTCTGATAGGCATGGTAGAACTCCTTTATTCATTGCAGCTAAAAATACAAACGAAGGGGCTGCACGACTGCTGATCGAAAAAGGTGCTAACGTCAATGTTTCTGATAGCTATGGTCAAACTCCTTTATTCATTGCAGCTGAAAATAGAAACGAAGAGGTTGCACGACTGCTGATCGAAAAAGGTGCTGATGGCAATGTTTCTGATAGCTATGGTCAAACTCCTTTATTCATTGCAGCTGAAAATAGAAACGAAGAGGTTGCACGACTGCTGATCGAAGCTGATGTCACTGCATCTGATAAACGTGGAAAAACTTCATTATTCTTTCCAGCCAGAAGTAAAAACAAACATGTTGCGCGACTTCTGATTGAAGAGGGTGCTGATATCAACGCAAGGGACATATATGGCAGAACAGCATTGCTTTATGCAGTTCGGACCTGTCACACTGTTGAACAGTTTAAAGTCATAGCAAGTATGCTTATTGACAAGGGGGCTAATCTAAACGACACCGATAACCACGATGTCAGTGTTTTATCCTATTTCATTGAAAGATGTTGCTGTGACGAGGGTTCACCAAAATACCCTTGTTCTCCTTATGGCTACGATCTTGAATATTTTTCTCGTGATATGGGTGGACTAACATTTTTCACAGACAATGGCATAAAGAACTCTACAGTAGTCAGTTCAGCACTTACCTTTTTATATGTAAATTTGCTAAACCACCTTCACAGTGCTAACGGTGTGATTCAAGAAAAAGGAAAAGAAATTTTTGCCCAGGCGTTATCGGTTGCCAGCAAATACGCTGCCAATGATGATCTAACATGTATTGGGAACTTGAAAGCTTTGCTCGCCAAAGATGAAATACCAGGAGCTCTGGACGCCTTGATGATGTTAGGTGTCAATCCGAACAGTGCCGATTCGCATGGAAATACTGCCCTCCATTATGCTACTTTACTTCCATTCCATGGGGTCTCACAAGAGTGGGTAATGAAAATCCTCCAGACGCTAGAAAAGCACAGAGTACGGTTCAATGTCAGAAATCAGGAGAACGAGACACCGCTACATTTCTGTCTTTCAGAAAAAGCATGGAAACCAGCAAGAAAAAATGACACCAGGAGTAAAATCGTGTCAATAGGTGAAATTTGCGAGTTTCTTTTAAAAGATGGTTCACTTATTTTTGAAACAACGAGAAGAGGAGAGACTGTATATCATTTGATTTTGAAACTAATTCAAAAGGGACTATCTATGAATGATAAAGAAGTACGAGAAGTCGTTTGCTTCAATGCTGTAAAACTGCTTGAATTGTTTTCCAAAACAACTAGCGATAATTTTATTGTCTTAAATAGGATGGATAACATATGTAACTCTCCCCTCCATTTGTGGGCTACACTTCATCTACCGTCAAGCGAAAACTATGGAGATAGCATAACGAAAAACATCACTTTTGAAATGTTTCTTGACAAAATATTGAAACACTTGTTAACACCTAGAGTAACGCCAAATCCAAGAAAAGGAGATGATCAAACGCCCCTTCATCTCTCTAAGACGTGGACTGCCACAAAGCTCTTATTAAATGCAGGAGCAAATGCAAACGACCTTGATAGAATGAGGCGGCCTCCTCTCTTAAACTTTGCAAAACATCAAGAATTTGTGAATAACCCACGTTGTTTCTTCCCGGATGTTGAAGATGATGCAGCACCTTTCTTTGAAAAATGTGTATCATTAGGACTTGATATTTGGAGCTCTGATAGAGATGGACAATCCATACTTGGTATCTTACTTGACTCCGAGGCTTATGTATTGGCCAATGCTTTGATTGAAGTTGTTGTTACCAAGTGTACTTGCAAGCTAATATTTGAGGAAATGGTGAATACAATCTGCAAAGACGAGTCAACAAGTACTACTTGGAAAAGTGTTCTTACAGAAAAACTAATAACCTCATCAAAATTTCCATCCAAGCTGAATCTCAATGATGCACTGTGTCATATCTGCGCCAATATCGACAAGCTGCGCCATCAAGGACAAGGTCTTACAATTGATGAAGAAGGAATTGAATCTGATGGGCCCCCGAATAAGAAACCGAGAATCGATGATACGAGGGACAACACCAGACCAAAATGGAATGTCTTTGTTGATATTGGAAGACAACTGCTGTTTTACGGAGCCGATGGTAACAGTCTGTGCAAGGATTTTCCAGGACTTTGCTCCTTCTTGACTATAAAAATCAATCCAGGTCAAATGAAGACGATAATCCCATGGACTTCGCATTCCAACACCCATAAAGAGAAGCTTGAAATAGTCTCAAGAAAGCAAGATGTCGAGAAAATTGGCACCTACTGTTTTCATAAAGAACCTATAGGATCTGGGAGCTTTGGTGATGTTTACGCTGGGATATGCGAGAATGATGCTAGGGAGGTTGCGATCAAAAAGATTAAGAAAAGTTCAGTTCTTCGACCAGTAGATGAAAGAGAGAAACGTGTCTTGATAGAACTGGCAGACTGTCAACAAGTTGTTCACTACATCTCTTTCGATGACTTCAATAATGACTTTGTCTACATTGTATTGGAACTGATGGAAGGTCACCTGGACGACTATTTAGCAAGTCATTCAGTTGACGAAGTGGAGAGGGTAAATTTATGCAAAGAAATCATTAAGGGAATGCGGTACTTGCACCAACACAAACCAAAGCCAATTCTTCATCGTGATCTTAAACCAACAAATATCCTATACAAATTTGACAGAAATGGAAAGCTTTGTCTTAAGATTGCAGATTTTGGTCTCAGCAGTCCTCCCACTCCCACAACTGGCAGAACAACTGTTCTTCCTACGAAAGTTGCTACTCGTAATTGGATTGCCCCGGAAGTCACAAGATCCCAGCCGTACCAGTACTTTCAATCGTCTGATGTTTTTTGTTGTGGACTCCTGTTCCACTACATTCTGTCAAAGCAAAAACATCCATTCAGTCCAGCGGATTGCTCTAATAAGTCTATTGATGTTATAGTACATGAAACACAAGACAATATGTTGAAATACAAAATGGAGGGTTGGGATGACGAAATTTCCCCAGAAGCCAACCACCTCATAATAGACATGCTTCAACAAGATCACGGTCAGCGACCATCAGCAGCTGATTCTCTCTGCCATCCATTCTTCTGGTCCAACAAGAAGAGGATGGAGTTCTTACGGTCTGTTGGTAATCAGACCGAATTTGAATGTCCATCTACTATCAAGGCAACCTCTCATCATGTAACACCTGTGGAGACTGATCTTAACAGCAACTCTGCCAAAATTGTAAAATATGGCAAATGGGATGATTTAAATTACAAAGGCATGGCAAACGTCGTTGCTGAGATGAACAAACCTATAGTGAAGGTCAATAAAAAGGGAAAGACTTACCACAACAAACCAAGAACCTACGATACTGTTTCAGTTGTTGAGTTAGTTCGCTTCATCAGGAATGCCATTGCTCACGTCTCTGAAGCCAGTCGACCAACTAACATCAGGAAACTGATTCTTGACGACTTTGTCTTTCTGAAAGAGTTTCCACATCTACTCATAGAGGTCTACAAAGCTGTGATTACACATGGATGGGACAAGAGAGAAGAAATCAAGTACGCTATCAGTTCTTATGGCGAGTGAGAACCCAGAGGCATGAACTGTAAGTTCTACGTTTATGATATGATGTAATAGTCTCCTTTACAGTTCTCCCTGAGCCATGTAGCCGTCCCTGTGCATCGAAGTTCTTTTATCTAAATCTGTTTAAGACAGCAAGGCCAAAAACCATACCCTGGCCAGCGGCACGTCCTCGTATGAGTATCCCCCCCCACCCCAAACAAAAGTTGCCACTTTTGCTTTTTATGGGTTTAAAGGGACACTGTCAATGGCACGCATGCGCGAGTAAACTTGAAAACATTAGGCTAATGTTTTCAAGTTTATGACTCCAAGTTGGCGCGACATAAATCAGCTCGTAAACGTAAACAGATCTAGAATATTCCAAAGTGTGTCAAAAGCACCACAAANTCATTGCAGCTGAAAATAGAAACGAAGAGGTTGCACGACTGCTGATCGAAAAAGGTGCTGATGGCAATGTTTCTGATAGCTATGGTCAAACTCCTTTATTCATTGCAGCTGAAAATAGAAACGAAGAGGTTGCACGACTGCTGATCGAAAAAGGTGCTGATGGCAATGTTTCTGATAGGGATGGTCAAACTCCTTTATTCTTTGCAGCCAAAAATAAAAACGAAGGGGTTGCACGACTGCTGATTAAAAAAGAAGTTGATGTCACTGCATCTGATAACAGTGGAAAAACTTCATTATTCTTCGCAGCCACAAATGAAAACAAACATATTGCGCGACTTCTGATTGAAGAGGGTACTGATGTCAACGCAAGGGATATATATGGCAGAACAGCATTATTTTATGCAGTTCTTACCTGTCACACTGTTCAAGAGTTTAAGGTCATAGCAAGTATGCTTATTCACAAGGGGGCTAATCTAAACGATACCGATAACTACGATGTCAGTGTTTTATCATATTTCATTGAAAGATGTTGCTGTGATGACGAGGTTTCAGCAAAATACCATCGTTACGGCGATTTTGATTTAAATGATATTTATGGTGACGGTTACGAATTTTCGAGTGCTCAACTAAAGTTTTTCACAAAGAATGGCATAAAGAACTCGACAGTAGTCCGTTCAACTCTGACCTTTTTATATGTAAATTTGCCAAACCACCTTCAAAGTGCTAACGGTGTGATTCAAGAAGAAGGAAAAGAAATTTTTGCCCAGGCGTTATCGGTTGCCAGCAAATACGCTGCCGATCGTGATCTAACATGTATTGAGAACTTGAAAGCTTTGCTCGACAAAGATGAAATACCAGAAGCTCTGGACGCCTTGAAGATGTTAGGTGTCAATTCGAACAGTTCCGATTCGCATGGAAATACTGCCCTCCATTATGCTACTTTACTTCCATTCCATGGGGTCTCACAAGAGTGTGTAATGAAAATCCTCCAGACGCTAGAAAAGCACAGATTACGATTCAATGTCAGAAATCAGGAGAACGAGACACCGCTACATTTCTGTCTTTCAGAACAAGCATGGGAACCAGCAATAGTAAATGACACCTGGAGTAAAATCGTGTCAATAGCTGAAATTTGTAAGTTTCTTCTTAAAGATCGTTCGCTAATTTTTGAAACAACGAGAAGAGGGGAAACTGTGTATCATTTGATCATGAAATTAATTCAAAAGGGACTATCTATGAATGATAAAGAAGTGCGAGAAGTCGTTTGCTTCAGTGCTCTAAAACAGCTTGAATTATTTTCCAAAGCAACTGGTAATAATTTAATGGTCTTAAATAGGATGGATAACAAATGTAACTCTCCCCTCCATCTGTGGGCTACACTTCATCTCCCGTCAAGAGGAAACTATGGAGATAGCATAACGAAAGACCTCACTTTTGAAATGTTTCTTAACACAACGTTGAAGCATTTAATCAAGCCTGGAGTGAATCCAAACCCAAGGAATGAAGAAGATCAAACGCCCCTTCATCTTTGCAATACATGGGCTGCCTTCGATCTCTTATTAAACGCTGGAGCATACACAAGTAGTCTTGATATACACATACGGCCTCCACTTTTAAATGTTGCAAAACGTCACGTCTTCGAGAAGAAAGAAGGACATTTCTTCCCAGATCTTAAAGAAGGTCAGAAAGAGTTCTATGAAAGGTGTATGTCAGGAGGTCTTGATATCTGGAAGTCTGACAAACACGGTGAGTCTATTCTAACCATCCTACTGAAAAAAGAGATGTTTGAGCTGTCCGAGGCCTTGATTGAAGTTGCTTGTGATCAAGAATTAAGTCCGTCACTCGTAAAACAAATGGTGCAGACAATTTGCACAGATGCATCCACACGTACTCACTGGAAAAGTCATCTCATTAGGAAAATCTTGACATCAAAGGAATGTCGTCCATCTGATATCAATGATGCACTTCTGCATTGCTGCACGGGCATTAAAAAACTGCACGATCAAGGGAAAATAGTTGTCTTTGAAGGGGCCGATACATCTGTCAATGTAGAAATTGCCAGGCAACTACGCTTACATGGAGCAGATAGTAAAAAATGCATACATTTGTGTAATGACTTTCCAGAGCTTGAATCATTTTTGGTAGAAGAAATTGATCTCGACGATGTGCCAATGAGCATTCCATGGACATCATACTCTAAAGCACATGCTCCCAAACTTGCAAGAGTTGCAAGAAAGCAAAACGTCCAAGAAATCGGAACTTACTTGTTCCATGAAAAGCCTATTGGTAGCGGATCATTTGGCCATGTCTTCGCAGGAATCAGCAAAAAAGATGGAAGAGAGATTGCAGTCAAAAAGATTGAAAAACTGCGAATGGATCGACCTGAAGATAGAAGGGAGATAAAAAATCTGACAGCATTGGCTGACTGTTCAAAAATCGTTAGATACATCTTCTTCGATGACAACGACAAGGACTTTGCATACATTGTGTTAGAACTGATGGAGGGGGATCTGGATGACTACTTTACAAGTTCTTCATTTGATCACAGTCGAAGCGGCTTGATTTGCAAAGATGTTGTCGAAGCACTAGCATATTTGCACCAGTGTAAGCCAAAACAAATTGTTCATCGGGATCTGAAACCAGGCAATATCCTTTATAAACTCCACCCAATACTTTGTCTTAAGATAGCAGATTTTGGACTGAGTAGTCCCATGGGAACAGGCGAGACAACAGTTTTCAGAACCAACGTTGGAACCAGATGTTGGATAGCTCCTGAGGTTATTCGCTCTGTTTCTAGCCAGCATTCAATGAAGTCAGACATTTTTTCTTCGGGACTCTTGTTACACTATATTCTGTCGAATCAAAAGCATCCATTTAGTCCGCCGGGTTGTACGAGAACATTCAGTGAAATTAGTGTCCATCAAACACTAAACAATTTGCTATACAACAAAATGGAGGGATGGAATGATTCACTCTCCCCTGAAGCAGCACACCTAGTTGAAAGCATGCTTCAACAAGATGAAAGCGATCGACCATCTGCAGCTGATTCACTAAGTCATCCATTATTTTGGTCAAACGAGAAGAAGATGGAGTTTCTAAGAGCGGTTGGGAACCAAGATGCGATTGCATGTCGACGACCTGCGTGTGGTCCATTAAATGCCTTCGAATCTGATTTAGAGAGCGCACAACCGAGAATTATTAACCATGGAGATTGGAACAATGTAAGGTACACACATACATCTGATATTTACACTAATATGCAAAGTGATCCCCATGCTAGAAGAAATTGTGATACTCGATCCGTGGTAGAGCTAGTGCGCTTTATTAGAAATGCCCTCGGTCACGTGTCAGAGGCCGGTCGACCAACCCTTATGCAGAAACAAATCCTAGACGGCGTGTTTATGGAAGAATTCCCAAACCTGTTGATGGAAGTCTACAAAGCTGTCAACAAGCATGGGTGGAACTTAAGAGAAGAAATCAAGAAGGTTTTAGACGATAACTGAGACAAGTAAGTAAAATACATAGATCATTGTTCGACAAATATGAATTACAAAAGTAGATTCTTTCACTAATGGCTGATGAGTGACAGGGTTTTTTTTGCTTTTCTGCGCAATCTCTATGCAGCATCTTTTAAGTTTTATTTCATTGGAAATGAATATTTGTTTGATTATGCAATGATGGTATGTCTCCCATTCCCTAATGATCCATTGTGTCTTTTCATTTTTCGACTATTCAGTCGTTCATAGCGGCCCCTAGATAATACCTATTCAGGTTTAGTGAAATATTTGTCAATAAATTGTTCATAAAGTGGTAAATAATTATGTGTACATGACAACATTCACAACAGCCAGTGATGGACCGATTGCCCAGTTTAAATATTGGTTAAAATATTTATTTAATCATAAGTGCGATAGTGGGAAGGTGTAGTAATGGGTGAAATTTGTCTTAACAGTAATACGCCCTTGTGACACACGCCTTACAAGCAAAACAAGAAACATAATGTTCTTCGCAATATACTTGGAAAATCTTCAATTTGTGTATATGAATAGGATGCGAAGATATTATATTATGCCAAGTACCTCAAATCTGGATGAAAAAGTCTACCTGTTTACTTAGGATTTTGTAAATAAATGTAAATAAGCATTTTACAAATCGATATACTCATCAAAGTGGTTACATTACACCGGTTTGGACTTCAAGTCAAGAAACCATAACTTATCTTGATTTCTTATATAGTATGATTCACTTAGAAAATGTTTGTGTTTGTTTTATAATCGATGGGGTAGAAAAACAATTATACTCTGAAGGTATAAAAAGGATTTGCATTGTAAATAAGCTTTAATACGGCGATTATTGGAGTTCAAGAAACCACAACAGAAACTGTAAGACATGGTTCATGGATAGCCTGCAAAATAGTCGTTCTCTCTCTCTCATTTGCAGAATCTTACATTCTCCCTAAAACACAGAACACTAGTTCATGGGTAGCGTGAATCCATTTAAACGATGCATAATGTGTGGTTTCTTGAAATCACTTATTATTTCTAAAGCCGAGGTTTTCCTTTCCAAAACCTTGCAAGCTTTTTGTATTAGCTTGAGAAACGAACAGTCGCCACTGTTGGAGAATCCGGAAACCAGTAAAAAACAGCTTTAGAATCCAGAATCCAGAATTACACCATGTATTATCCGGAGTCCAAAAACAAAATTTTTTGGTAATCCGGAATGTCAAGGCTTGGAATCCGGAATCCCATGTTTTGGAAGCCGGAACCCAGCGCTTGGAATCCGGAATCCACTAGTTCTCTGGATTCTCTTTCATGGCGCGAGAATAGGTAATAATAGCAAGAGAAGAAAACAATCGAGTAAGTGAGTTATATCGTGGTGCGTTAGGAGCTTTCGAATTTCGTTAAAAAAAGAAAAGAAAACAACAACAATTTTTGCTGTATCTTTTTTTTTTATTTCTCACTATATATGTGGGTAATAAGTATTTACAAGATAAATATTCACAAATAAAAATAGCTAGATATGCTCTCTTGGGCATAGTTATTTTGAAAAACGTTGTCGAAGAGAATAGCGACCGAGGATTGAATAGAGATTGTAAAATCAAACGTAACTCTGTGTAAGAAAAATCCTGGAAGAATCAACTCATGCAAAAGACGTTCATGCTGGATAAAATTATATAATTGAAGATTTGTCTATGGCTCGTTTTCTAACTGGTCATCTTTGCAAGGTTTTGATACACCGAACGAGCCGGCTCACATTTGATTCAAATTTGATTTACTTTTTCTTACAAAAGTGGAAAAGGAAAAAATAACACCAAAAAGATAGAAAATAAGAATAAAAATCTATTATGAATCCCTTCCAGTTGTGCACTTTCTATTCATCCAAATACTCTATTCTCTCCAGACTGCATTTTTTTAAATGTATTTACAATTTTAGTTGAAATTTTAATAAAATAGTAGCTTTCATGACCKTGTGATGTTGGCTCTGTTGCACTGTAAGGAGCTTCAATGCGTTGTGCTAGACAAGGTGATCCTTTGTAAGTTGCTTTAGAGTTGAAGTAGTTACAGGCCTATAAAACAACGTTTGTTATGTGATAGGATAATCTGCTTGTTTTACACGCAGAAATTTGTGTCCATATGATCGTCCCAATACTCCATTTTCAAATTCAAAGTGAATAATCGCTGTTTTATTTTACAACAATTTCTCTTACGTAAAAGACTTTACCAAATACAAAAGAAAGCACAAGAAAATTTTGTATAAGTACTAATAATTTACATTTTCCCCGAGTTCAAGCTGACCCTGTATTCCCAGACAGCTTAGTCCTGAGTTTTTTTAGGAATTCAGGGTTAGTCTCAACTCGGAGAGCATGCAAACTTCAAAAGGCTATTGTAATAACGATTTTTTTTTCGTGTTTTCTTTTGTTTTCGGCAAGTTCTTTGCGCCAGAGAATCTTTTGTCAAATAAAGCACCGATTTTCCGCATTGAATTCGAAAATCGTTTTGCCATTGTTCTAGCAGATAAATCCTGTTTTTTACTGAGTCTCTCTGATAATAAAAGGGAGAATAACAATAGTTTTTTGGATTATAAAGGATTAAGAAAAGATTATGAAAATGCTTACAATCAGCATATTCTTTGTCATATGCTCATTGGTATTCTTATGTCGATGTCTTATGTCGCACGCTTGGCTTCATTCCTTTGACTTTTCATTTGTGCTCGTCTTATGCCTATGGTTATGTCCTTTTCTCCAGTATTGAAGAATTTAACATCAATGAAAAATGCGTTTTGGGACGATTCGGGATGCATACTACGCATTGTGTGTTACGTGTTACTGCGAAGTTTGAACGACTTTGCCCTTGAAAACGCGGTTAGATGACGATTTGACTCGCCATATCGAATAATTGTTCATGTCATTCGTGCGGGATCCCTGTGCACTTTTTCGGTTTTCGGTTTTCTTTAGCAAATCCATGCCATATATGGAAACAGACAAAAAGGCCGACTGTACAGAAGTCAGTGTTTTCGCTATAATATCTGCAAGTTTAAGACAATTTGAACCTTCAAAAGTCAAGAAAATTGGCAAAACCCAGTCCTTCCAGTACTTCCCAGTACCCAGTACTTCCCAATAAGTCAAGATTACCATATATAATAACGAAGAGGCAAGATTTGCTGTTACTCCGAGTTTCTTGCTTACGCACTCATCAGACAGTATTTAAAGATTACCATATATGGCTTCTAAACGAAGGTCAACTTTTCTGAGGCAATTCTTTGACAAGTTTTGATTTGTGAACAATAAATATTCCAAAAATATTTCTAGGCGGTCACAGATTTACGATTCACTTTAGTTCTCAGCCAACCAGCTAAACCGCAGGCACAAGAAAAAATTCTATAAAGGTACAGGTAAAGGTATATCTACAAGTTTCAGACGATTTGAAGCTTCAAAAGTCAAGAAAATTGGCAAAACCCAGTCCTCACGTAATTTACGATTGTTGTGGTTTTAGTACACAGTAATACCGTACATACCCCATAACATAGAGCGGTATATCTTTTGAGAACAATGCAAACAATTGGTGGGTACCAGTCCTCACGGCATAACACTTATACTCGCCAGTGCATGTGTAGGTTTCCATAGCGACGTGAGATGCAGGAGAGGATGGTGAGTCATCTGTTGAGAATTATTCCATGGGTCAGACAACAAAGAGTATCACCGAAAACGATCTAAAACGGTTTGGTAGAGAGCTATTTCAAAAACGTTGCCTGGTAAAACGGCGAACGGGCAATTGTTGAACGAAGGGAGATTGCATGACCGAAAGGGACTATGGTTGCATTGTTTTAATAAACAAAATTTCACTTATTGGATTCACCTTAGATAGAAATGGAGACTATAAATTGAGTCAATGTGTTTACCACAGACCATCTTACAGTAGAAAACAGTTGTTATTGCCTTTCAACTAGCAAAATGTCTACTTTCGGTCGTGCAATCGCCGTTCGACCATTGATATCCGCTATTTTATCAAACAACCTTTTTTGAAATAGCTATATACAACCAGTCAAGCTACCTTTATCTTCAGTAGGATCTTGAACAGCAGGGAACAATGTGTCTACAACAGACTTGTAAAACACTGTCAATGCAGACTTRCGTTTGCTTGGAGATAAAGATGGTCCTGGTGAATTACAATTGCCTGTCAGTAAATTGCAATAAAAGTCATTTTACAGGAAAGTAAGTGAGCATGAGTGAGTGAGTGAGTGAGTGAGGCATCGTTTGCATTATTTGAACTTATATAGGAATAAAGTGAGTCAGTTAATTTATACAAATATAAATTCATCTTAAACGCAATTCGTCTTGTACAAAACTTGTTGGGTTATTGTTACTTCTCTTGGTTGCCGCACAATGTCCCCTTCATCCCAAGTAAAAATGTCAATAAATTTACTTGAAAGCATGCCGTGATCCTTTGAGAGCATGCAAGGAATTTCCTTATCTACATTCAGTTTTAAGATGCCTATAATCACTTTAAATTCATTTGGCAATAAATAATATTAATCAAAAGCATAGAGCAAACGCAGAAAAACCATGAAATAAACTAACTAATAAATGGCGCCTATTAATTAGAGACAAATTGTCAGTATCAACGAACCAGAACGCAATAAAGATGAATGAAAAATGGTCCCATGTGGATTCATCTTCATTTTGTTCTGGTTCATTGATACTGACAAATTGCCTCTAAATAGCCGCTATTTGTTAGTATATAGTTTGGTTATATTTCATGGTTTTCCAGCGTTTGCTCTATCTCCCAGTTTTTTACCTGAGTCTGATCCTGTAGTCACCCCTGAGGGATAGACACTTGTAAGGCACTTTCGTTCTTCAGTATTAACAAGAATAAACCTAAAAATATATTTG